TGAGCAAAAATCTCTCATAACTATTTCTAAAAGAGTGTATGGTGAGCAGTTGGGCATGCATGACCATATAGAAGAAATGGGCAAGAATATTGTTCGCCGCTTGCACCCGAGGGAGCCTTACAGACATAGTCGATTGTGGATTGCAGACGAAATTGAAGATATATTGGTTAATAATCAGGTAAAGATCAATTTTATTTGTAGGGTTGAGGAAACTAACACATTTTCATTTGTTATGACACAAGTTTCATGGTCACTGCTTTTGGGTCACAGGGTACTGAAGCAACAACAGGTATAGAATGGAGTATAGACTCAGAACTCGATCCAGAAATTTTGAAAGGCCTTGGAAACATGAAGAATCTTAGATATCTTCTGCTGGATCTTGAATGTGATGATTCCGATTTGGAATTTGATGAAGTTAGCCAATACCTTCCAAATGCTTTACGATATCTAAATTGCTATGGTTACCCTTTTGGGTCCTTATCCAGAACATTTGAAGCAAATAATCTTGTTGGACTTGAGTTGGAGAGGAGCAGAATTGTACAAGTTTGGGAAGGGGGAGAAAGAAAGGTAGAATAATAGTCCAATACTTACTTGTTTTGCATGATTCATTATAATCTTCACTTTTTGGTTTTGTTTGGTTTGGTTTGTTACTACACCCTTACTTACCTTTTTTTTATTTTTTTATTTTTATGATAGGTTCTTAAGAAGCTCCGATTCCTTACTTTTAAATTTTCAAACTTGAAGAGCCTTGATCTTGGTCTTTTTCCGAATCTTGAGAAATTAAATATTAAAGCTTGTGATAATTTGGAAGAACTTCACATTCCCGTTGAATGTCTAAGGCTCAAATCCCTTGTCCTCGAATATTCTAAGTTGAGGACCCTTGACCTTCGAGGGACTCCGTATATCGAGACATTAAATCTTGATGGATGTGATGATTTGGAAGAACTTCACATGCCCGTTGAATGGCTAAGGCTCAAATCCCTTCACCTTTACTTCGAGTCTTCTAAGTTGAGGGCCCTTGACCTTCGAGGGGCATCAAATGTCGAGACATTAAATCTTGATGGATGTGATGATTTGGAAGAACTTCACATGCCCGTTGAATGGCCAAGGCTCAAATCCCTTCACCTTGACTTCGAGTCTTCTAAGTTGAGGGCCCTTGACCTTCGAGGGACTCCGTATCTCGAGACATTAGATCTTGATAGATGTGATGATTTGGAAGAACTTCACATTCCCGTTGAATGTCAAAGGCTTGAATCCCTTAACCTCGGGTCTTCTAAGTTGAGGGCCCTTGACCTTCAAGGGGCATCAAATCTCGAGACATTAACACTTACACAATGTGATGTTTTGGAAGAACTTCACATTCCCGAATGTCTAAAGCTAGAATCCATCTATATCACGGGTGCACGGTTAAGGACCTTTGACCTTGGGTGGACTCCGAATTTGAAGATGTTAACTCTTACAAATTGTTATCGTCTGGTAGAAGTTCATGCACATGATGGGTGTCTAAAAAAGCTTGAATACATACACTTAAGTGGTTGTTTGAGGTTTAAGTCTTTTTTGTTAAGGAAACAGTTTAAATCGGTTGAAGTTGGTTGTGCATCTATGTTACATTTGAAGGCAGAGTCCCTAGAAATGTGCCCATTGCACTTGGGCAATAATTTGTCGAACTTTAGATTTGAATGTTTTTATGAAGAAGAAGGACCCTCGATTGGAAATCTAGAGAAGCTTATTTCATTTGGTCTTTGTGCTTGCACAAACCTTGAGCGTTTTTCTCAAAGCATTTGTGGTTTACGATGTTTAAGAAAGCTTACACTCGAAGGTGGTATTCCAGAGTCACCCAAAGACCTTGACCGATTGGAATGTCTAGAAGAGCTAAATTTGTTGTCTACGAAGATTACACATCTGCCGGATAGTATTTGTGAGCTAAAACATCTGAAATATCTCAAACTTGATCGTTGTTGGTTTCTTGAAAAGTTACCTGAAGATCTTGGCCGATTAGAATGTTTAGAGAAGCTAATCCTATCAGAGTGTGTATTTCTACGACATATTCCAGACAGCATCTGTAATATGAAACTTCTGCAGTATTTTCTTCTCCCTGGTTGTATCTCGATTGAGAAATTACCGGAGGAAATTGGACGATTAAAATGCTTAAGAGAGTTAAATATAGAAGGTACAAGCATAAGACATCTTCCTGAAAGCATTTTTGAGTTGCTATTTCTGTGCATTGTTGGTTATAGATGGCTTCTTGAGTCGTATGGTTTTACATCCGAGATACAAACCTCAGAAGACGAAACATTCTGCTACATAGAGCTGTGAATGACATTTAGGCAACCACAACAAAAGTCTCCATGGATGATTTTGAGAGGTCCAAAGGCCAAAAAAGCTAATTCACAAACAACTATACATTGTAACAGGTGATTCTTTTACCATTTCTTTCGTTTTATGGTCAGTTTCATGCTTTTTTCAGCTATGTTGTTTGTCTTCGTGTGCTTCGTTTCAGCACTTCATTGAATCGAAGGATCATACCCTCTTCACATGCCGTGATGAACTTGATGTTTAATCTCGGGTCTCATGATTTGGTTTTAGCTCAATCAGTTTTCCATAGCTGAAACCTTTTTGTCATATGTGAGACTTCTTATTATGTTCCTGCAATCTCAACTCCCTTTTAGAAAATTACTTCATCGGTTACATCGCATTTCATTCATTTTCGACCATTTTTACAGGATTTTGGACAATGTTCTCGTAACGAGGACTCTCATGTTCTATATGTCAGCATAGATATCTAGTTGGTCCGAATGTTTTGCTGTTTGCTTCGTACGTAGCAACTCAAACCGTCAAGACACGTGAACCGGGTTTAGGTGATGTTTGATTCATTGATGTTTTGCTTCAAGAAATGCACAACGACTGAAGACATTGTTTTAGGTTAGCTATGTTAAGTTTACCTTTTGTAACTTGACATTTTTTTGGTTTATGTTTTGAAAGTTCCGTTATATCTAACGGGCGGTTTACCAAAGACTTACCTGGTAAGCGTTTACCGGTAAATTTAACACTATCATTTACTTACCGGGTAAGATTTTAGTCCACCAAAAAACGTTATCGTATGTAACAATTTACTTGGTAAGCGCTTACCATGGTAAGAGTCGTCGTCCTCACTTACCGGGTAAGACTTTTGGTCTTTGTCTCGCTCTTACCGGGTAAGATTTTTAGTCCTTACCATATTCATCCGGTAAGATAAGTAACTTGATGTTCACTTACCCAAGCAAGCGTTTGGTAAACAACCCCTAAATGTTACATTCTTCCCTACATAATCTTCTCTAACTCCAACCTGTTGCAACTTAAAATCCCAGTGCAGATTAGCCAAGCATTCTACAATCTTAGCAACAAAGAGTGCAGGACTAGAATAAAGCACCCATTTAAGTCTTGAAGTCCATTTTGATGGTTGCTGATCGGGTTTCCCTAGATACGTGCAAACTGTGTCTCCCGTGGCTGGTCGCGCCGAACACTGTGTGCTCGTTTTCTTATCTATTAACGGTTTTCTGTTATCCACCATACCTATATATTGTCATCACTACGTATCCTTTGTTTAATTTCTTTGTTGTGTTATACATGTATAAGGGTGCATCATGGCGGTTAAAAACACGAAAGAATTCATGTCGCCAATCAAGGGAATGTGTTGTTCAACCTTATTTTTGGGATACAGTGATGACACTACAACAAAATCAGGTTTATTATGACGCTCCTAATTTCTAAGCGTTCTAATAGACCTCTTTATAGAACTTATTCTATAGGACCAAAAATTAAGTGTCATATCTAAAGACGTTGTAATAAGTTTATATGACGTTTTTTGACGTCTTAATAAGTTTTTTACGACACATTTAATGTAAAGCGTCCCGTTAGCAATTTTATAGGACATTATTTGAAAAAATGTCCTATAAAAACAAGTGTCCTATAAAAAATTTAGTTTACAAGACACTTTCTCAAAAGTGTCCTAAAAGTTGCTAATGCGACGCTTTGTACTAAAAATGTCCTAAAAAACTTGTTAAGACACCCACAAGCGTCATATAAACTTATTACAACGTCTTTCGATAAGACGTTTTATATTTTGGTTCTATAAATTAAGTCCTATAAAGCGGTTTATTGGGACGATTAGAGATAGGGGCGTCCTATAAACCTAATTTTGTTGTAGTGGTTTGCTCAAATAGTATCCTATGAAATAAGTAATATAACGTTTTATTTTAAAGATCTTCTAAAAGAGTCCTAATTTTGTTGTAGTGGTTTGGTCATATATATAAACAGTCTATTAAGACTTCATACATTGTTGGCATCTTGGGTTGACACACTACAACAAAAAGAGGTTTATAAGACCCGTTTTTGGAACACTTTTCAAGACCCGTTCTTTAAGAAAAAGACTAACACGACATATTATTTTATTAGTCCTATTTGATTTAGTTTAATAGGACTTTTACTTTTTAAGTGTTATATCATTTAAAAGACTAATAGAACATTTTAAAGTGTTATATTATTTTAGAAATTAATAGGACATTTTTAAGTGTCGTGTTAATTTTTAAAAGTTAATAAGACACTTTTGATTGTTATGTTAGTGTCTAAAAGCTAATAAGGGACCGTTTACCAAACGCTTACCCGGGTAAGCGATTACCAAGTAATATTATCACATCGGATKAATATAGTAAGGACCAAGAGTCTTACCCGGTAAATGAGGGCGACGACTCTTACCACAGTAAACACTTACCGGGTAAATTGTTGTATACTATGTCGTTTTAGTGGACTAAAATCTTACTCGATAATTACATAATAATGTTAAATTTTATCAGTAAACACTTACCGAATAAATGTTTGATAAACGACCTTTTATTAAAGTTTAAAATAATATAAATAACATGAAAACTAACAGGACTTACCAAGGCTCGGCCCAATTGAAAAAGGCCCTAAGCACTCTTCTATTAAATAAGCCCTATTTTATTAACTCATCGAGTCCTCTCCAGTGATTTGCCATCATCGAATCGCCCTCATTGTTTTCCATCATCGAGTCCTCTGCACGTTGAGGATCTCAAACTGAATTTGCAAAATCAAGTTAGACAAGGAAGCTGCTGTTCAAAATTTCAACCAGATCGAGGTAAAATCACTATTTAGATTGATATTATAACGTTATGTTCTTTGAATTTCGTTTATTCTATTTATGTCTATCTCACACACGACCATGATTTAATACACACTGATGAAGTTAAATTACCCCAACTGCGACTCTTTTCACTAAAGTGGGATAAACATATAAATGCTTTATGTACTGGTCAGAACTTCATTGTTGTTGGGTTTGTTCTTTCCTATAAAGCCAAAAATACAATATGTCGTTGAAAAACTGACATTTTAAACTCTGTCCAGCTTTCATGTATCAACTTCATCACTGTTTTTGACTATCAAGCAGATTCATTGAGAGAAAACACAAAACATAAACATTGAACTCCAGCCTCTTAGCTTTTCATCAATCTCTGATTCATCCATTTTGGATGAAAATTGAGTGAGTTGTGCATGTTTTCTCACAGCTGCGCAAAACAGTCGTTAAAACAAACATTTGTCTTTGCAAACCTCGTTGAGTAAAGTTTGAAGCTCAGAGCTTGAAACTTTAAGATCAGATTAGGGAGTGACATATAATATATCAAAATCATAGCTTGAATCTATGAAGAACAGACGAGAGAACACCGTTCTAAAATTAGGAAGAAAGGAGTAAAGTATGTAGCTTCTGTCCAACACCCATCTATAGACTTTGACACAGAATAAGTCATATCTGCACATTGAATTTGAGAAAACTCAAAATCTAAAAGATGTAGATATATGTTTTACATTTCCAATGCAACTAGAATAATAAATTTTGGAGCTTCGAGGTGAAAGTTGTGCGCAAAAAGCTAGAGCAGCGCAAAGCTGACATCAAGCTTTTAAAAGGTCGGGCTATGTAGATCTAGTTCACATGACCTCTGGTTCATTATCTGTTCAGAGAATCTGAAATAAACTTAGTGAGTCCCATGCTCATTATACTTCTTATGATACAATAATAGCTAAAATTCTTCTAAGTAACCAGCAGACCACAAGTCTCTATATCAAGATTCAAGCATCAAAACTACACTCTCTCTGTGCATTTACCAACTACACTTGTTAATGCCTCTTCCTTTTTGCCAGTTATCTCAGATATCAACCCAATCTGCATCATGTTATTGCAAACATATATAAGTAACAATCTCCATCACCCTTCTTCTCAACATTCAAAACAAGTAACACAAACATATATAATGTTCTTCATCCTGATGATTGGTAACCACAAAGATGTTGTCCCACTTACCTACCGGACTAAATGAATCTATATATCTTCCACATCTTCCTTAAGTTCATGCTATTAATTTCAATTGCAATATTCTAATTATTATTATATAAAGATATATTAGAAATAGTTAAATAACTTTCTTAAACCATGTGCGTGTGTCTATATAACCAGAGCTTTTGGTTCATCGAAGCTGATCATACCTCTTTCTGATTTGAGGCTGTCTCTGGGTTTTGGACCAGAGCTCTGGTCCATTATGACCAAAGCTCTGGTCCATATAACAAGAGCCTCTGATCCCTTCTGGTCTACCCTCTAGTGTTCTTTGATACACGAATCAACATAGAAGGTTTCTGTCCAACAACTTTACACCAACTTTCACACTAAATCAAACCATGATAGCTCCGAAATTTGCAAAAACTCGAAACATAAAAAGTGTGTATTGATTCATTATCTGTTCAGAGAATCTGAAATCACCTTCTTTGGAGCTCAAACGAATAATATATGATCTATGTACTACAATCACACAGATCTGTTCAACAGCTTTGCATCAGCACACTGCTGTCCACTTCAATGATGCGTATGACCTCTCTACTGTTCGAATCTTTGAATGATCAAAACATGAAACTTCTTAATCCATCTGTTTTCTATCCAGGGCCTTTTGAATCGCCTCAATTGGTTGAAGGCATTTGAATAATCCAACTCAATGTTTGCGGTTTGAAATATCTCAACCCAACCCGACACAACCCAAACCGTACATGCGGGTTGGGTTTCGGTTGGTCAGGTTAATCAGGTTGAAATCTGGTACATTATTTTACAATATAGCTCAGAGTTTTGTTTAAACGAGGTAAATTAAAATGAGAACATACAAACAACGCTAACAAACTCAAAAAAAGAAGTTGAAAGTTCATCCAAATAAGAAAGTAAAATTACTGTTGAAATTGTAATAAAATTTTGGTCTAATGTCTAATGTATATATATATTAATCAAGAACTAAATAATCATATTAAATCTGTGGTATAATGGATTGTGTTCATTGGGTTGAGTTGGGTTCAAATTACCCCAACCCTGTTCCAACCCAATAGATGTGGTTTGGCATAATTTTGTATCAACCATGTGTCAGTGTTATCTCGAGTTGATTTTTTTCTAGTTTTCTTTGGATTGGGTTGACCAGGTTGGTCAGTTTTTGAGCACCTCTGATCCTATATACCTGATTTTGGGGTTGAATGGTTTTTAACCCATTTAAGTTAATCATTAATCTAATAATATAATACCAAACACTCTCATTCATTCAGATTTTCATCCTTACCCTTAATATCATCAACCAAACATGCTTTTAACCATTATAAACATGTAATGAACTTTATGAACTTATAACCCCACCCCGTTCGAATAACAGACGCTTGAGGAATTTTATGAACTTTTTTCCTTTTTAATCATGATTTTCTACCATGTTTTGCAATTAGCAATTTATATATGTGTGTGTGTGTGTATATATATATATAGTCTTGGGATCATGTGAGACCAGCCTGTTTTGGTGAGACCACCTTTTTACACTTGAAACTTCACAGCAAAATACTACAAAGATGACTTTTTTTAACCTTCACAGCAAAAAGCACTGTGAAAGTTACTTTCACAGCATTTTACTGTGAAGTTTCAAATGTGAAAAGGTGGTCTCACGGGTCTCATAAAAACAGGCTGGTCTCATGTGATCCGAAGTCTCTCTCTATATATATATTGTGATAATTGAGTAGATTATCTTGAAATTAGTGGTAATAATTTTTCTTGTTCCGTGTCTTACACATTTTTTTGACCAAATAATAGTCTTTATTTATATTAAAAAAGTTATTATATTAATTAATAGTGTCTTTATTTTTATTAAAAAATTATTATATTAATTAATTTTGTCTTTATTTGTATTAAAAAATTATAATTAATAGTGTCTTTATTTGTATTAAAAAATTATTATATTAATTAATAGTGTCTTTATTTTCATGTCTTCTTCATCATATTGGATCAACGTGTTTCGACATTAATAAATATTAGCGGACGGCAGAAAATATTTTTTTTCTTTTTTAACAAATAATCAAATCATAATCTTCTCTAATTCCAACCTGTTGCAACTTAAAATCCAAGCATTCTACAATCTTAGCAACAAAGAATGCAGGACTAGAAGAAAGCACCCATTTAAGTCTTGAACTCCATTTTGATGGTTGCTGGATGATGGGGTTATAATTTTGGCAAAAAGCCGTTGTTGAAGTTATCTCACAAGCACTACCATCACCACCTCCACATCTTCCTCAACCACCACCTCCATATCTACCACTGCCCACCACCACCATCTTCACGTAGTCCACAACACCACGCCCACCATCGTTTTTCCTATCTAATTAACATGCTTCTAGGACATTCTTGACTTATTTTTATAGGGGACTTGTCTTTGTAAGACATATACTACAACGAAATCGGGTTTATAGAACGCTCCCAACTTCTAATAGTTCTCTTTATTGGACTTGGTAAATAGAATAAAAAAATAAAGTGTACATCCTATCTAAATATGTTGTAATAAGTTTATATGACGTTTTTTGACGTCCTAATAAGTTTTTTAGGACACTTTTAATATAAAGCTTCCTATTAGCAATTTTATAGGACACCATTTGAAAAACCGTCCTATAAAGCGAGTGCTCTATAAAAAATTGAGTTTATAGGACACTTTCTCAAAAGTGTTCTATAAAGTTGCTAATGTGATGCTTTATATTAAAAATATCATAAAAAACTTGTTAAGACACGTAAAAACATCATATAAACTTATTACAACGCCTTTAGATAAGACACTTTATATTTTGGTCCTATAAATTAAGACCTATAAAGCGGTTTATTTAGACGATTAGATATAGGGGGCGTTCTATAAACCAATTTTGTTATAGTGGTTTGTTCAAATAGTGTCCTATAAAATAACTAATATGACTTTTTTGGGACAATTTTCAACACACGTCCTTTAAAAAAGGCTAATACGATACATTATTTTATGAGTCCTATTTGATTTAGTTTAATAGGACTCTTACTTTTGATGTCTCTTAGGGCCTGTTTGGCAGTTGCTGAATGGTTTGGTGCATAATGATTAAGTGGTCAGAATGATTAAGAGACTCGTATAATATAGTGTAAAATGAAAATATAATTGTTTGATAATTATTCAGAATGAAATTAGGGTGCTGAATGATTCAGGGATGCCCAAGATACAAAATCATTCAGAAGGTTTTAGAACCATTAAGAGGCAGACTTTTTTCTTGCCAAACACGATTCACCTTTTAACAATTCAAAGACTGCCTCTCAATGGAACTATTAAGAGGTAAACAAACAACCCCTTAATGTCCTATCATGTAAGTCTAATACGGCACTTTTCAATGTCAAATTATTTTAGAGTCTAATAGGACATTTTTTTAGTGTTATAATAGGACATTTTGAAGTGTTATATTATTTTAGAAATTAATAGGACATTTTTAAGTGTCGTGTTATTTTTAAAAGTTAATAAGACATTTTTCATTGTTATGTTACACTTCATCATGATTTAATAGATAATAGACCCCCTTAATCTTGATTTTTGGTTGGTGCAAAAAGAGGATAGATTTTGGTGTAGTTTCTTTGATCGTCCAACATTTCGACTCACATTCAATCTTGTTTGGGTTGCTAATTGTAGAGATCAAAAGGGTTCAAGTTTTCATGGAATCACGTTGTTCCAAATATGGAATTATGATGATGAAGCTGCAGCCCACAAACAGCAGCCCCAAAAAGCAGCCACTTCTAGCGGTTTTCTGGGATCGATTGGAAAAACTGTCGAGGAGAGGGAGACGGGGACGAGAACCAGAGGACAGAAATCGGAGGGCAGAACCAGAAACAGAGAGAGAGTAGAAATCAATCGATTGAAAGGAAGCTGAACTGGAAACTGTCAAGAAGGATGGAGCAAGACAGGAAGCCAATCGAGAGAGGGATTGATCAGAAATCGATCAGCAGAGAGAGGGAGCAGAAACTGTTTTCTGAGAAGAAGCAGAAACTGTCTATCTGAGAGGAACGAGAACCAGAAATCGGGAAGAAACAGTAAATTTCCAGATTTTCGGAGCTCTTGGTTTGCTTTTCAGAGGGAGATCCAAGGTCCGATTTTCAGATTCTGGGAGGAATTTTGGAGACAATTTCCGGGGTTCTTCCTTAATTTCAATTCTGCAAACTTTTGTAATTGCCTTTGGTTTCTAAAGGTCAGATATGAGCAGCTAAACTTCATATTCTGACAATGAGTATTTGATTTACTTTGAATTTGGATTAGTAGAGACTAATGGTAATTTTAATATCATTTGAAGCCATTTATACGATTTTAAAATTAAATGTTTATCGTTTTGAGTTGGATATATTGAGTAGGATCCCTTTATGTGTCTGATTCAATTTCGAGTCTCTAGATGAACTTACTTTAATATCTTCACGTAGTCCACAACACCACCTCCACCATTAGCTACCACAACTGTCGAGGGACGGACCCAGTATGGTAGCTAACGTATCGTTTGAAAGTTATAAATTATCACTGGAACTCAAAGTCATGTTAATAGTTGCAGGTATATAATTACTTCAAAGGCAGGTGATGTAATTCCTAGGAATAAAACAATATTAAAATAAACGTAACCTTAATTACTAGAAGGATACTCGCGTAATGTAGTGAGATATATTTTGATTTTAATATTTTATTTTATTATTTATTTCAGTCGATGTTATAGTATAGTCTTATGTGATTTTGAAAAAGCGATGATGTTTTTTTTTGAATAAAATATAAACTTGAAGATATCATAAAAATTTGACAAAAATATTTCGATATTAGTATCAAATTAATTATTTAAAATTCATATTTTTTGTGTGATTTTTTACTTCAATTTTTTTATTATAATTTAATTTAGGTTCAATAACGAAGTAATTTATATTTGTTTTAATAAATATAATTTTCTTATAAAAATAACAATTAATTATTTTGTATAAATAGTGTAGATTATTTAGGATGAATTATAAAAATCATCATGCGTTTGTTAAAACTCTACTGGTTATCATTATTATTCTAACTTCCCAACGTTTTTCCTATCTAATTAACATGCTTTTAGCACATTCTTAACTTATTTTTATAGGGGACTTGTCTTTGTAAGACGTTCACTACAACAAAATCGGGTTTATAGGATGCTCCCAACTTCTAAGCATTCTAATAGACTTCTTTATAGGACTTAGTTAATACGACCAAAAAATAAAGTTTCCTATCTAAAGATGTTGTAATAAGTCTATATATGACGTTTTTTGACGTCTTAATAAGTTTTTTATGACACTTTTAATATAAAACGTTCTATTAGCAATTTTATAGGACACTATTTGAAAAACCGTCTGATAAAACAAGTTTCTTATAAAAACTTGAGTTTATAGGACACTTTCTCAAAAGTGTCATATAAAGTTGCTAATACGACATTTTGTATTAAAAAATATCCTAAAAAACTTGTTAAGACACGTAAAAACGTCATATAAAATTATTACAATGTCTTTAGTTAGTACGTTTTATATTTTGGTCCTATAAAATTAAGTCGTATAAAGAATTTTATTGGATGCTTAGTGATTGGGGGCGTCCTATAAACCCAATTTTGTTGTAGTGGTTTGTTCAAATAATGTCCTATAAAATAACTAATATGACACTTTATTTTAAAGATGTGCTAAAAAATTTGTTAAAACGCCTAAAAGCATCCAATAAAGTGAACCATCATAAACATGTAATAATGAAGTTTATGGTCTTTTTCTTTCTAGAAAATAATCATGTCTTTAATTTATAACGTCACCCCATTTGAATAACAAGAGACGCATGAGGAATTTGAAGTCTTTTTTCCTTTTTAATAATGATTTTCTACCATGTTTTCCAATTTTAATAAGCAATATATATATATATATATATATATATATATATATAATTAAGTAGATTATCTTGAAATTAGTGGTAATAATTACTTCTGTTTCGTGTGTTTCACATAAAGATGTATAAGGTTTAGACCGTCTTTGGTAAGCAGAGAAAACCTAAGTTCTTTTTCTTTTAGGTTCAATATTTGAAGTTGAAAAAAAGGTTAAATTAAGTCTTTTCAGACAATTACCAAAATTTCGGTGTGATCGGGTTTTGAGTCATTCTAGGACCAAGCTTTTTTCGAACTTAGATTTATTTTGTGCATTTCTGATTTCACATATTTTTGAAATTAGTATCACTATAAAATTAAGCCTTGTTTTTTTTAATAAAATTGCATCAATATTTTGATTGAAATTATTTAAATATGTAAAGAAGAAAAAAATATATTAGTGCTCGAGAACTAGACTTGACATCTTTTTGACCAAATAATAGAGTTTTTATTTGTATTTAAAATATAATTATATTAATTAATAGTGTGTTTATTTATATTTAAAAAATTATTATATTAATT